TGAACATTGGTATAACGCTGCCTTGGTTTCAAGAGGGTCAAAAACGTGATGTCTGTGTGAGCAAAAAACGTGTCTTCATAGTCATGCATCCCGTGTCGGGGGCAGACTTCATGTTAGTATATCGAGTCGGCCTACGCAGATGTTTTTTCACGTAACTTGTAATTCAAACCGAAACGCAATCCCTCTTATAATCTGCGCACCCCTAACGCTCATTCCTACCCCCTTGGGATAGACTTGCCATATAAAAAACTCCTCCCACAATTAAATTTTGTTTCGTAAAATCGTAAGAAATAAATGATCCTCTGCAAAAGTTCTACTCAATAGGTTTCATTTGAATACCAGCACCATAAGATTTCGCCCATAGACTGAATGTTGCCCCAAGCCTCTTTTTCAAAGGAAGGCTAAGTGCAACAGGAAAGGGTTTGCACTTAGCCTCGTTTTTAAAGTGAACGTTTATGGAACTAGGCAAAAATTACCTATTGTCTGGTCGCTACTGCCCAAGCCAGCCCGGAAGTGGGGGGGGGTACTCCTGGGAATTCTTGGCGGGGGTGTGCCTGACCCTATTTCAGACCAAAAAATGACATTTTCCATACCTGTTTTCAGACCAGACCTCTAAAATCCATACCTGTTTTCAGACCTGGTCTTTAGGCTGAAATTATGTCATCATTACTTAGATTAGAGCGCAAACAAAAAATTTCTTCAAACGCATTTCGAATTCGCCTATTTCCACTTTGTTATTATTCATTTGGGATTGAAATGATAAACACGTTCATACACTCCCGTAGTTCCCTCGAAAACTATACCCGATGCCACACCAAAATGGAAAAGTCTATACCCGTATTCAGACCAAACACCTTACCCTTTGTGGCGGCACAAATCTACATGGCTTATATAAGGGAGTACCACCACACGTGCAGCACACTCTCACCACCGTTATATCATTTTCATGTGTTTCTTCCAACGAAATTGGTTTCCGTTGTTATTTATTTCTCGCTCTAGCTCTTTTTCTGTTATCCAAGTTAATGTAGACATTAAAATTTTGTGGAAAGAAAGACTCGTTTTTTTTCTTTAAAAGTCCGGGCGCCCATGTAATTTACCGCCGAATCGAGCGGGGTGCTTGAAATGCAAAAATTTCACCTCAGCTACAACATACTCCTCCCCCGACTGGCTGACTCCTGACCCCTTCCCCCTCCCCTAGCGTCTGTACGCTCAGCGTTCGATCGTACGCTGACGTCATAACCAATTTTTCTCGGATGGATAGATGACCAAATTTTCTTAAAGGGCTTCGTTCGCGCGCGTGGAGCTCCGCTAAGATTGATTTACATTGCCATTTTTTTTTTTCATTTCAGAGTTTCAGACAGTTCATGGCCGAATTTTGGCGGTAAACATGGCGTACTTAAGAAAGAAACGTCAGACGGCCGGGAATGAAACAGATGGCGAACACGCTTATAAAGAGATTGTAAAAATCAACAAAGGTATACAAATCACTTGGCTTAACAAATTTATTTATCTGCAGTTAAAATAATTTTTACGATGCCTTAGATAACTTTGATGAGCTGCATTAGCATATCAATACCTAAAATTACCGGAATTTTCCCCCCATTTGCTCCTGATTTGTTTGTTTGCCTGTTTATTTTTACTTAGCAGTCTTAGCATGCGGTGTCTTTCAATCAAAATGGCCTCGTATGTAGTTTCTTTACAGTTGCAGATTAGCTTTAGCTCAGTCTGTTTATCGTCTGTTTTTCATCTTATTTTTAACGTAATTGCATAAAAAGGATGGCCTTTAGGATACATAATTGTTGAACTTCTGTTCTTAAGGTGACTCGACCCAGTTTTTTTGGGGGGTACCATCCTACTTTGAAGCTCTCTGGTATCCCCACCTTTACTTTTATCGTAAGTCTAACACATAGAATGGATAACATATAGATCAATCTACAATATAACATAAAATTTTTGGCGATCGGAGTAAATGTCACGTGGTTATAATGCCACGCCCCTTTGAGGTCTGAGTCGAAAATCTACTGTTGCCGGCATTTTTTCGTGAAAATCTCTCGGCTACACATAGTGCGCATTAGTGCCTTGCGCTGAACAGAGTTTCACCAAAATCGCAAAGACCCAATTCGAGAAATTCAGTGGTTTCCAAATTTAGGTCATAATTTATGCGAAAATGATAAGCAAACTTTACACGGATTATATCTAATAAACTATGAGATTCATCTCTGTATTTTGGGCATCCTTATAACAGATGGGTCTTTGCAAGTCAGCAAAACAATTTAGGGTCTTGTAAATGCGCGCGATTTCGAGCAAAGCAAACATATAGAAATTATAGTTTTCGCTATTTGTTGACGTTTGTCAGCGTTTAAGAGTCCTTCTCACGAAAAAAGCATTTTCTTAAAAATTCGCAGTTTTTTTCCTTCAAATTTTTTCAGGGCCACAATTGATTAACTAACTACCCGGACTCTGAATTTCATGGCCATTGAAAAACTGTGACATTACCTTCTATAAGCCCAAACGTGAGTAAACATTGAAGATTTTTAGCGTTTTGGCTGAGTTTGTGCTTTGGGAGTTGTCTATTGTTTCTAGTCTGTCATTATACAGCATTCTTGTTCAGCGCGCGTGCAATGACCACGCTTGGCTGACTTCCGAATGCTCACCGACATATGATAATTTAGTATAAGAAAATAGAAGGGATTCCCGTCACGAGTTAGTTTAATTATTGGCTTGCATTAAACCTATGAAAAAATGATATTTTTTTAATAGTAAGTAGTTTTAGTGTGTAGCACTTCTTGATTTTTTGCAAAGGCACAAGAAGCACGAGAATTGATTAAAAATTGAGAGTTAAACCTCTATATGATCACTGTACCAAAATTATCATATCTAGGTGAGCATTCGGAAGGCAGCCAAGCGCGGTCATTGCACGCATGCTGAACAAGAATGCTGTATCATGACAGACTAGAAACAATAGATAACTCGCAAAGCACAAACTCAGCCAAAACGCTAAAAATCTTCACTGTTTACTCAAGTTTGGGCTTATAGAAGATAATGTCACAGTTTTTCAATGACCATGAAATTCAGAGTCCGGGTAGTTAGTTAATCAATTGTGGCCCTGAAAAAATTTGAAGGAAAAAAAAAATACGAATTTTTTAACCTTTGAAGTCTTAGCGAACCAGATCCGTAAAAACCCTGCGATCGAAGGCTTCCTGCTCCCCGGAACAGGTGGCCTTCAATTTAAAATATCGCAGTATGCCGATGACGCCACTAATTTCGTAAAGAATGAGAGATCTCTCTGTCACCTTCTAGAGACCGTGAACAAATACGAGAGGGGGTCTGGGGTCAAGCTCAATACCTCCAAGTCCGAGGCAATGTTAGGCAATGTGGCTTGGTAGGTGGAGAGCTAATGGCGCCTCCCCCTTTGGTTTACAATGGGTTAATAAAGTTAAGATCTTAGGGGTTTATTTTTCGAACGGACTAGTAAATGTTGATGAAGATAATTGGCGTTGCAAATTAGATAAGCTAAAGAGAACTTTAGGGCTGTGGGCGCAAAGAGATTTCTCTTTTTTAGGCAGAGGCATGATTCTAAATGTTCTTGGGGCCAGTAAATTTTGGCATGTTGCGAAAGTACTGCCGCCCCGCCAAAATGGTTTCTGTTGAATACAAGCGAGCTGTTTGGCCTTTTATCTGGAAATCAAAATCTGAAACTGTAAGCCGAGCGCGCTGCGTGGCCCCCATCGCGCGTGGGGGTCTGAATATTGTTGATTTCGAAACCAAGTGCTCAAGTTTGCGTTCGTCGAGTCTCTCTGGGTATCGGGAGGGATTCGGCACATGCAAATGGCACTTTTTAGCCCGCTACTTTTTCGGAAATCGCTTTTCTAATCTTTATCCTCGTTTTGATTTTTCTTTTCGTTCAATTCCTTTGTCTTCTGAGCCGTCTGCTTTTCATCGTAATTGTTTATCTCTGTTATCTTCCTTGCGTAGTAAACACGGCTCTTTACCGGCTGATTTTTCTTGTAAGAATTTGTATAGCCTTCTTCTAGATCTCCCGAGCGCCTCTCCGCGTTCCTCCGGTTTTTGGGCCGCTTCGCTTAGGGGGCCGATTAACCGGTGGGCCGCGGTTTGGCGCAAGTCTCGCCTTAAGCTGATTGAGAATAAGAAAACTGATTTACTTTGGCTCATTATTCACCGCGCAATTAAAGTTCGATACGCATTGAAAACTTGGGGATACAAACTTAAATCTGATAAGTGTGCTTTGTGTTCCCAATTTGATACAATTGAGCATTGTTTTCTCTTTTGCCCTCGCGTGCGTGCTGTGTGGAATTATTTTACGCCTTATCTGTCTCGTCTTTCTACTTGCCCTTTGTCTGTTAACTCTTCTTGTATTTTCTTCCCTTTCCGTCTCTCGTGCTTGTTCGCCTTCTTTCTCGCTCTACTGTTACTTAATCGCTACAATTTTATTTTGGATTTGGCAAACTGGAAACCTCGCAACCTTTCGAAATTCTGTCTTAAACGTTAATCAAATCGTTAACCTGATTAAGAAGGATATTTCCTGCCGAATTTTATGTACAAAACAGGATGAAAAAGAAAATTTCTGGTCTACTAGTAATGTTCTTTGTAAGATTTCTGATGCTAACTCTATTTCTTTTTTCCCTCCCTGTCCATAAGCCTTTATTGTATATAGCCGCTTTTAATTTTAGTTCGCTTTATTTAGTTGCTCCTAGATATCTTTGTACATAGCCGCTTTTAATCTTAGTTTAGCCGTTTTGCCTATGAGCATTTAGCCGATCGCTCTGTATATAGCCGCTTTAACTTATTTAACTCGCTTTGTTTTCCTGGAAGCCTTGTAAATATTTCCCGGAAATCCTGTACATAGCCGCTCTGTTAATTTGCATTAGTTACCGGAAGTCATGTTAATATTTCTCGGAATTCTGTACATAGCCGCTCTACTTAGCTTAATTTGCATTAATTCCCGGAAACCTTGTAAATATTTCCCGGAAACCTTGTAAGTACTACGCTACTCAGAGTACAGGTATAAGAACTTTCAATGACGACATAGAACTACACATACCATAACTTAGAAATTGACCGCAATAAATTCTCTTCTAGAAAGCAGATGGTTCGACTCTCGTAAGCGATCACTAAGTCTTCGCTTTGTGTTTGGTCGGTTAAGGGAGGTTCGTCTGTACAACCTTAACCCCTGCTTAACCTATTGGATTGTGATACTGAACACAAGTTCTGTCGCTGGTGTTCCTAAACGGCAATTACTAAGTCTTAGACCAAAAAAAAGCAACTTTCAAACATCAGGAAATATAAACCTTGACCTACTGTTTATGATACAGAACATCAGTTCGGTTGATGTTTTCTTTTGCTTGCTTATACTAAGTCCGATACTCACTGACAACTATTCAAGTATAAACCTTACGCTACTTCGTGCGACAGTGTACTTTACTCCTTAATGGTTCTCTGTTTTATTAAACCTTGCCTTAAAAACTCTTAATTAAAGCTACCCTTACAACTAGCAACGCCTCAAATCTTAAGCTGTTGATTATGATAGAGAGTATCAGTTCCGGGGCTTTTCTATGCCACTTGCTAAAAGTAATTCAATGACCTTAACAGAAAACCCTGCATGTTAATATGGTTTCCATTGTAGAAGTTTCGAACCATCCGTTTATGAGGTTTTCACGCTGGATTGTTCACATCACCTCTTGGCTTTGGAAGATGCAAATCAAGCTTCAGATCCATCATTGTGGAACACTCAAGGCCTGTAAGATTAAAAACAAAACAAAGAAAAGACAACCATGAGACACAAAACGTTCACTTAAAGCGGAAAGACAACACCACAGTCACAACCAAACCATCCAAACTGAAGACATCGTCATGCGTCCCAAATAAGGCAAGGAACGACTTGTAACAGTGATTTAACAGATAACGCCCTTGGTTAAGGAACTCCTGGCAATGATTTCAGTTGTCGTGAAAGCTTCATTTCCCTTACAAACAGTTAAGTGCTGGCTCAGCTGCGGCCAATAAATTCCGATGCACAAACGGATCAGCCATCAAAAAGGGATCAAGTTCTTTACCGGTTAACCTGTTAAGAAAATCGTGCGTAATCACTACATCATATTTTACGCTGTTCACAAATCATGAGACTATGTACAGTGCTCGTACAGATTCTTGGATCCAAAGACTTTTTCCAAACGTTTTTCTAAGACAATAATTTCTTTTTCCAGACTCAAGGTTATCAAATAGGTAATCAATAGAGACATTGAAAAACGCAGAAACCAATCTTTTTTCCATGATGCAAAGGAATCGTACAGTACCTAAGGTACAACGTGGACATAACACAGTGAGTTCTGAAACTTCTCATACTTATACTGAATGTCTTGGTTACAGGGCGATATTAAATGAGATTTGATGACCACGTGAAAAACATTTCACTTATTTAGCATTTGTTGTAGCTTTAAAACAAAGAATCTCCAGACTTTTCACCATTTTCCCAGACTTGACCTCTTTTTTGCAGACTTTTCCAAGCTCCACAAATTTCCTTTGCAAATTTTAAGACTTTTTCTCAAGAATTCAAGACTCTGTACGAACCCTGTCTGTGATAATGTTGCATCATTCAAAGACGCAACTTATACAGCTGCAAAAAGAAAGCCTGTTGGCTTACTATAGTTCAGTAGTTAGAGAGCAGCATAGGTATCGCAGAGGCCAGGGTTCAGTTTTTCCGGCTTTCTTTGAACAATCGCAACACTTGCGTCTTTAACTGGGATGATCTTGTTTGTGTTCATTTCTTCATTCCGCAGTTCCAATATGGATGTATGTTAAATTCATAGACAAAGTGTCAAAATAATACAGTCTCACAGCTGTACCTCTGCTGTCACTATCAACAATGAACGCTAGGCGATGTGCAAATCACATAAAACCGTAGAGAAACAAGCAGTGTCTTTCTCAATATTTCTTTGACAGTGTTTGGCACAAAAGTAAAAAAACCTCTGAAATCACTCTTATGAACGAACGCCATTCTCACCTTTGCTTTCCTGCAGACTTTGTCTCGCGGCCGCTTGACTGCGACAAATGCACACATACGTTTGGACTGCCAAAGGCCGATAGCGATCAAACCCTCTTGGGGAAAGGAAGACAAACATGCCGGCCTATTCTCCATAGAAAGTAAACTAAGCAATTCTCCAGTCATAATATTGAACAACCGAAGACAGAAACTTTCCAATATATTTTGGCAGTCGATAACGCATTCCGTCTCACTCACAAATGCACAGTTAAAAATGTGATCGACTGTGCATAGTGTCTGGAGAGTTTTTCCTGAAAATGCATCAAGCACGTGCACTTCTTGCTTACTCTGAGGGGATTTTGCCGAGATTAGGACAAACTCTTCCGTTGGAGAAAACATGCCAGGAAGATTCCAAGAGTACAACAGAGAACCTTTAAAATCACTCTTCCATAGACTATCTCCGTCGTCTGACAGCTGAACTGAGTCACGAGCAGTGGACAACAGTCGAAATTTCCTGTTACATTCTATGGCTTCTTTATAGATAATTGGACATGTTGACTCGTATCCCTCATGACAAAGGGAGATGGTCTTCACTATATCTCCACTTAACGTGTCCAGGATGCTTACTTCAAAACTTCTGCCCACGCATGCTACACGCTGGTCTGTAACTGGCATCATATACGTAACCTCACTTAAGCTGGGCCAACTTCGGACTTGCTGAGACAACTCAAAATTCCACAGCTGGACAGCAGTCCTACGATGACGTTGTTTCAAAAGAACGCCATTGGTCACTGGTACAAGACAAATACCGTTGTCAGAAACGTTTAAGGCCGTAAGAGGCGGTTTAGGATAATGGAGATCAGGACAAGTTCCAATCTCTAACGTTCCATTAAGTTTTCCACTTGATACATCAAAAGATACCACTGCTGCTTCCTTGTCTTCAGTAACACCATAAACGGACTTCCCATCTACAGCAAAGGCAACGTGACCGAGTCTTCTACAAGACGTGGTTCTTGCAATTATCATTTCTTCAGGACTGAACATGGCAATGCGGTTGTTTCCAGGGAATACCCTCAACACACTTTGTTTGCTTAAGACAAACGCAAACGCCCCCTCTACAAGAGTCCAATACGGTCCCAAACGTCTGAACAAACATGATACAGGATCTCCCATCAAGAATCCAGCTTTGCTGGATGATTCATAATCCCAAGGCTCAAAGTCAACGTTATCGTTAATAACATTCAAGGAAAATATGCCACAAGTTAATTTCATAATGTCTAAGCGAATGCCTTTTGGGTATCTCTCCCACATAGACTTTACTGGTTTACACCAACAAAACAGGGCTTTGAGGTTAGGGGCAAACTTGATCATTCCACATGGTAAAAAAGTGGTGACCTCTGCAAGTGTCTCAAAGCAATTCAACGCATCAACCAAACACACTAATCCAGAGACATGAGAAATTGCAAGTAGTTTTTGATCTGGAGACCAGGCAAAAGACAAAACAACCTCCTCCCTATAGATCCGATCAATTTCATCGCCATTTTTTAGACTCCACATGACAAGGCATTTTTCATCACCAGGGAAATCTGTAATCATCCTATCCCCGTTAACTGAACAAACGGTAAATTTGCAGTTGCTATTAGGGAACAGTGGAAGGAAATCTCCGTTAACTGAGTAGGCACGGCTAAGGATTCCAGGAAGAACAATGGGCTCAGTAGGGTGAAAAACAACAGAGCGATAACATGACAAAACAGATGAGTTGGGCACCACTCTAAACACGCCAAGGTCATCGACGTAATGTTTTTCGACCGTGACCGGGCGTTTCCATATTTGCTTCCCTGTTTGTAGCGACCACAGTTGAATCGTTCCATCCCTACATTCGCAAACCATGGACTCCTGCTGGGGTGAAATATCAAAACAAGCCACTCGAGAGGTGCAGCGAAACATGACCTGGACCGCCATCTCCTCCTCCGTAGCCCCCTTGTGAATGTACTCCATGTAAGGTATTTCATGATATTTGGTCTGTAAAAGTTCTGTCGCTTCACCAGCAAAAACGTCTCCTCCTTCGTTCACCATCACTTGGAAAAAAGCACTAGGATTCGTCGCAAGTCTTTCGTGGTACTTTCTCAAAAGAAACAACAAGGTACCAAGGGCTTTTTGGCTCTCACTACTCAGTGACTGAGTTTGTTTCTGCGTAAGGATAATATCTTCGGAGCTAGCCGTGTTGTTTACACAAAGCTTTCCATACACAATGTCTAAGTCGGTAACATAATTGTTAACGATTTCTTCAAAGCTGGATGTTCTTGTACTCTGTTCCAGGTCTCCAGAGTGGAGCATATGATAAACGCCATGCTGTAGGGCGTACCTCGCAGTGTCACTGAATTCTGTGCCGTAAACGCCTTTTCTTTTCACGTTATTCACTTCATCAGTACAGAGCTGAGAAAGCATGGCATGACCTTGCTTTTCATCCACAGAGAAGTTGTGTAGTCCGTAGGTAGTTCTCTCAGTCAACCAATCCTTAACTGATTTGTGAAAGAACACAATACAGTCATCATGAACAGGAAGAAGGGTTGAGATAGAGTCGATAGTTTTTCTTACTTTCCGATGACCAGATGGGGACTTTGAGTCAGAAAGTAACATCTTAGAAACAAAGTCTAGTGGTAGCGGTTCTCTTGCAGCCGCCAAAGCACTTAGAAAAGTCAAAAACTGGTCCTCACCAATTTTCAATTCTTTCTCTAAACGTTCAAAGTAGGACTGATAAACAGACGACACACCCGAAGGTAAGGTTCTCCCTAACTCCTCGGGGGTGAGAAGTGAAACGTTTTCCTTGATAAAATCGACCATCAAATAAGCATATAAAAAATGCCCTGCAGCCTCCCGGACCAGTGCATCGATAACAACTTCTTCAAAGCCTGATTGAATGACGCTGCACAGCTGTCTTTCAAGGAAAAGTCTGATGTCTTCTACATTTTCTTCATCATCATGTTCCAGTAGAACAGGGTTGAACTTTTTAAGACGGTCTGCGATATTTATTTCCGGTCGAGTTGTAACACAAAATCGAACCCAACCAGGAAGTGTACAGAAGTGATTAGCTATGACATCAACCAGCTCATTGCGGCCTTTTTATTCACTTTCATCCAAGCCATCAATCACCATAAGCAAACTTTTACCAGGGTCATTCACCTTTCTTAAAGGCTCCTCGAACAGCAATTCAAACAGATCTCCAACCTCTAGGTTGTTGATGTCTTCACCCACGTTTCTTGACAGTGCTTTTACAAGTTCTCTTTTATACTGTGGCAAAAACTCACTCAGCTGATAAGCTAACGATTGAAGCATTATCTTAGGATTTCTGGGACGCGCCTTGTTGTGCTGACAAAAGTGACTTCCCGACAGTCGACCAGCACGTCGCATTGTTTGACAAACGATAGCGGAGATCACTGATTTGCCCATTCCTGCATCTCCACTGATTACCATAACACGATTTTCAGATGTAAGGTCCTCTAACCACAACTTGATCTTCTCAAAGATGCGCAAGCGCGTTCCCTCCTGGTATTTCCCAGAGTGATACTGGATGACGCTCTCGGTATCAACTTTTGCTAATTTTCTCAGAGCTTCATCCTCTTCAGCTTTATCTCCTCTTTCTTCAGCGTTTGCAGCCTCACGCTTTATCTGCTGCTGCAATTCTTGTTGGGTTGTCCGAACTTCCTGTAACATTTGTTGTAAATTGCCAACAGCCTGGTGTGTATCTTGAAGCGTCTGTTCCACTCTGCTAACCATTTGGAGCGTATTTTGCAGAGTTCTGTGGTCCTCTTTGTGCAATTTACTAGTCTCCATTTGAGTCTGTTCTACTTGGCAAACTGTTTGGTGTGTATCTTGAAGAGTTCTGTGGTCCTCCTGTTGCAAATTGCTGGCTTCTATTTGCGTCTGTTGCACTTTTCCAACTATTTGATGCGTATCGTGAAGAGTTCTGTGATCTTCCTGTTGGGTTTGGAGCACTTGCTGTTGTTTTGTACGTAGATCTTTCAGCTGGAATTGGATCTCCTCGTCATTTTTCATCCATTCAATAACAGCGCTGACATAGTCCTCCCCACAAGGCTCTCTCTTTAATCTGTCTACCTCAGACTGACTTAAACCAAGCGAAACAAGAACGGAACTTACTTCATGCCATTTCACATCGAACACTGGTGTTGGAATGCCAGTTGTTGCCACGTGACCATAGAGCTCGTTTCGGTAGTACTTAATGCGAGCAAGGTTAGCCTCTATAGAAGTGTCGCTCGCGGGGAGGCATTTTGTCCCAGCCTGAAAGGAGAGGGGACAGTCCGCAAATGTTCCTCAGCAAGAGGAACAGAAGAGTGATGTCAAAGTTAATAGCATTTGGTGGCCCTCCACCTGGTGGTGGAAACAGTTTGTCCCATTGACTATCTTTCAGAATGTTTTTACGCCGAAGTTTAGTAAGAATGGAATGAATACTTTTGGAACTAAGATCAGCAACCAAGTTGGCAGGAGGGTGATAGTAATCAAAAGTATTCCTCAGCACTGTAGTTCCACCATTGATGAGCAGTCTTCTTAGCTTGTTTCCATTTGTCTCCTCTACACAACTGGTCAGGGGTGAGGGTGCTGCCGTCGCCATGCTAATAATAGACAAACAGGTTCACCAACAGTGTATCTGAAACCAGTGAAAATTTCATTGCATTATTTTGCTAGTCTAGGTAAAACGAGACAATGCCGATCTGAAAAAGAGGCAAATACATCGTAGGGTATCAAATTTTGGAACAACACTACTACCCCTGCCCCGGCCTCTTTTGGGTCAGGTCTCAAACATGGTGGAGAAAATCACATACTATAGCCTGAATAGGGCAAGGCTTTGTTTTATGAAACAAAGCAATCCCACCAAGATTTCCCAGGAATATCACCCCTACCATAATAAAAATGAAGGAGCACTGGGAGTCACAGAAAGCAGTGGCCCACGGCATGAGCTCCTGCTGGAATAAACAAGTCAACTACCTCTGTGTTTGAACCTCTAACAGTAGCCTAGAGATCCTCAAGTTAGTACGTTACCACTTGAACTAATAAATTACTAATAATAAATTGATTCATAAGCTTTCACATGAAGCCTGATTTGAATTTTCAATCCCTTCAAAATTCAAGACTTTTTCCAGACTTTTTCAAAAAACAAGATGCGAAAGCGATGAACTAAGGAATGGAACTTCTTAAATGCATCGCTTTTAAAGAAATTAACTCTCCTCTTCTTTTTAACCCTTTGGTGACAGCCAGCGATTTGCGCGAAAACCGCGTCTTTTACCAATAGGCCTTTTGCATTAGTTGATCACATGATCAACTTTCGGTAAACACGAAAACAGTTCGCTTTTGAAAACTTTTGTTAGCATGAGCTGAAAGAGCATATTAAAATTAGGTAACCTGTAAATGTTCAGCCGTATATCTCAAAAGTAGTGATTGCAAAGGCCAGTGAAAATTAGAAGGATTTGTATGAGGAAAACACCACTTACCACCCAGTCACACTTGAATGGTTTTCCATACAAATGCTTGTAAATTTTGAAATTTTTAGACTTTCATTAAATCTTTCCCTAATTCATTTAAGGGATCTAAGTGCCTGTTATGAATTTAAAGGAGATTTGAGCTCCGTAATGCTTAGGGAAATATTTCACGACAGTTTGAAAATTTTGAAATTTAGAAGGATTTGTATGGAAAACAATTTTTCTCAAAAAAATCCTTCTAATTTTCTGCGGCTGTTGCAATTGCTACTGTTGAGATATACGGCCAAAAATTTACAGTTTACCTAAGTTTAATATGTTCTTTCAGCTTGTGCTAACAAAATTTTTCAAAAGCAAACTGTTTTCATGTTTACCAAAAGTTGATCATGTGATCAACTAATGCAAAAGGCCTATTGCTCTTCTTTGGACTGGTTTTCGGGCTAATTAGCATAAGAATGGCTAAAATGAATTTTGCAACAAAAAGGGCATATTTTCCGACTAATTCTAGATAATTAAACAGCTTTTTTTGTTTTCCACCCATGCGCAGAAGCCAAAATTTGGACTTTTCTGCAATCTATTTCGATCTTTCTCTCTCGCTCTCCTTTCTTTTCCTTAGCCTTAATTCTTATTCACAGTTTTCTTGTCCACTTTATCATCTTTCCTTTGTATGGAATTGTGGCTGGCCAACTTTTAGGAAAGATAGAAATTTAATCTTCAAAGAGAAGTAGGTAAACAGCGAAATTGGCAGTGGATTTTTCCTCAAAATGTAACCTTTTTTCTGAGTGTACCGTATTTCCTCAAATAATCGCTGGGGGCGATTATTTCTTTTTTTGGACCATTTTCAATATCCTCAGCGTCGTGACTGATCAGTTTTGCTAGATCAGACTCCACTTCAGCCTCATCCTCCAGATTTACTGCTATGGGTATCGATATCGGGTTACCTATGGTGGGAGGGGGCAATCATTCGAGGGAGGCAATTAATTGAGGGATGGCTATTATTCGAGGAAATATGGTAACTCTGTTAGGATTGGTCAAAATAACCAAAACAAGGCATCGATGGAAAGATTTATCTTCGCTGATGTTGTTGTTTACTGATATATTAACTTAAACTAAACGCTACATGGGTCCAGCAAGGAAAATATGCATCGTTCCATATGGAAAGGAAACAACCAGAGCAGTCCTTGAAGGGTTAAACAGAGCATAAAAAGCACTATATTTTAGATATTTGTTAGCTTTTAATATTTTAATCTATCTGACATTTTAACATTTTTAACCTGTAGTTTATATCAGTTAAATTTTTAGTTCTTAACTTTTTCACTTTTTATAACTACTACGTATTCATTTATCTAAGATCATTTATTGTTCTATTGTTTTGCAGGGGCTCACTGAATATCACTCCTTGTGCACTGAGCTCCCTGTATAAGGATTCTTATTCTTATTCTTCTTCTTCCTCTTATTATTATTATTATAAACATAACTATAAATCAAAATTCTCAGATCTGATTGGCCATGAACTGCCCTGACAGTATGCGTCATGCCTATAAGTAATGGGACAGTATGCACAATCACGTGCACGCTTAAATGGCTTTTTATCACTGCTAGCAAAAAAACATTGGAATTTCTTATGTGTCATCCAAATCAGTCTGTAATCATACTTGTGATTAAACAAATTGGACTCCCGCAGATTTTGTTAATCACTTGTATGATTACAGACCAAATTGGACTCCACTCAGTCTTGTTACCATTACTTATTATTATTATTATTATTATTATTATTATCATCATCATTATCATTATTAAAAGTGAAGAATGATCATCGCAGTAAATTTTCCAATTTAAGCAATTGGAAAGAAGAAGCCTGAAAAAAAATAAGGGCTTCAACGGGATTCGAACCCGTGACCTCCGCGTTGCCGGTGCGTTGCTCTACCAACTGAGCAATTGGAAAATTACCAATGGAAATTGGAAAATTTACTGCGATGATCATTCTTCACTTTCATCTACAACCGCAGTTCAAAAATGAATTATTTCATATACTTCACATCATTATCATTATTATCAAAACCTGTGATTCTTAAGATAAATCTCTGATTAATCTCTCATTTAAGCATGTTCAAATGATTTGTAATGGCGATTGACTCGACAAGATGAAGCAACTTTGGAAGTTGAGTGCCCTATGGGAGTTAAAATATTGACAATAAATCCTGTTTCATATTTTATTGCTGTATATTTTAGAACAGTTCTTTATGACGAACATTTAGATATTGTTTATATGTAAGTTAATGACCCTGGGAGTTACAGTATCGAAGCTGTCAGCATATTTTAATAACACAGCTGCATTGATAAAATTTGCCAAAAGATTGCTAGTTATTAATAAGGGGTTACAAATAATCCGGTGTGTGCTAAGTTGTGAAATCACAATAGGCTGTGAGCGGTCGATCGAATGCTTAAAAGAGCACTAGCGTGGTGGATTTCGAGAGGAATTCACAATTGGCCAAAAGGAAAGAGACACAACAGAAAAATAGAAAAAGAAAGAAATCAAAATCATAGAAAATAAAGCCTTCTCACCTCTATTCCATTGTCCTTTGTTGGCTTCGTTAAAACTGTGTTCGCTTGTGATTATCACTATTCACGCTAAGAATATTTTCAAAAGGTGAGATTAAATCAATTCTTTCCGCTTGGCTAGTAGTGAATAAAATTTTCTTTGTAAAGGCGCTGACTAGCTTACCTTTTGGCCGAAATCCAGCTTGTAAAAAACAGCGAAACACTCAGTGAAGGCAAATTCAACGATTCACCATTGGAATATATCCCAGAACTCCGCGCGCAAAAAAGTAGTTGGGCGGGGGCGTGGGGTAGGGGGAACTTCTAGAGGAAAAATTTAACTGGCTGTTCGCGTCGGCTGGAACTCTATGAAATGGCTGCGTCTGATCGTAGGATATCGGTACAGTATTAAAGAGGATTATTTCAAGGAAACTATGTTTGCTCCAGCAAAATTTGCAGTCCATACACATGCTCTATTTTGAGTACAAACGCCCCTTCCCCTCAGTAAAAAGGATCATTGCGTGACTTCGACCCAAACAGCGGCTGCGAACTGGTGACGAATTGTGTTCAGTGTTTCCGGGTCGCGTTTTTTCTAAGTTTTTTCAATATGGCGGATTTGCAGTGACATTCAAGTTTGTTCTATAGAGTACGTTTGTATTTACTGCCGAGGCCCTTTGAGAAGTCGCTCTATATCCAGGAAATAAGGTAAAAAATCTTTTGATTTTAATCAGCTAATAATAGGTCTTCACAGGATGCTAAGCGGTAAATCAATGTATTTTATTCAGAAAGCTGCAGAAAGGTACTCTTTTAGCTTAATGTAAATATGGAACAGTTTACCAAATAACTTAAAGGAAATTTAGTAATGGCAGTTGTTTTAAAGAAAATTAAAAGTTTTGTTCAACAAAAATATACTGACTCTACATGGTGGAACATACATACAATGTAATACTCTTGCTGCTTAACAATATGTAAGGCCACCATATTCAATACCAGTGTTTGCAAAGCATAAATTAAAGGGGAGCTCCTTGGAAAAGCTCAGCTAAGCTTGCAGAGATCCCTTGCTGTTTATAGACCTAATACATTAAAAATTAAGTGGCAAATAGAAGATTGATTGATTGGTTAATTGCTCCATGAACAAAAGTCAATTATTACAAATTCATCATGGATAATGGCAGGACGGGTCTTTCTATTATCCATGGTTTCAGTGTACTGGAAAAAAAAGTTTTTACGAAGCTTAAACATATTTAAAGTGAAATTAAAGTTTACAAGTAGTATGGTTTGTAATGCAGTATGTTGCCCAGTATCCAGACACTTCAGTTTAACATTGCAATAACTTTCCTTTGTTAGTTGCAAACTCTGAAATTTGGCCCAGAGAAAATCTATTTAACTTTTTTGCCTTTGTTTCCATCGTGAAAGTAATATTTTTGCAGAGCTCCTATGTTGCCCAGTATCTGGACAGCTGGCCCAGTATCCAGACACAACAACTAACAACGTAATTGTACAGAAATTTCAACAGGCAAGTGACTCAGTTATAAGCTTCTCTTGCACTTGCAAAGTAGTCTGGCAATCGATTCCAAAAATATAACCTAGCATCATGAAATAAAACATAATAACAAATGACTGGGGTATGGTGGGGAACACAAGCGGCTGTTAAATGGTATTATTCTTACTTCCTTGTCTAGGAACTTTTTCACTGATTTAAAGCTATTTAAGGAAGGCATCCGTGGACATGCCGAAGCTGCGGTTTGCTGGCTCAATTAGCCAATCTGCAAACGACTTTTTTTCTTCATTTTCTTTTTTAAAAAAAAAAGCTTGGGGAAGGGACCTCAATCTGACGGTCAAAGGTCACTTTCCTATTTAGTCTGACCTGCAGTGTTGATTTCTTCATACTCAGTCCCCACGATAAGCCTGCTTTTCTAGCACTAATTCTTCCTTCTTTCATATCTCTCAATCCCTTTGTGACATTTTTCAGACCGTTGCAACCCCATTCTAGCAGTCACAACTGGGGAAAGTATGAGAATTCCAGGCTCAACTCCGACGCTTTCAGTTATATATAGAAAATGCAATCGTGCAAAACAAGCCATGCACACGAAATTCACCTCTGAATGAATGAAGAAAGTTTCCGTATGGGGTTGAGTAGAATTACATTTTACGACTATATCATATATCCTAAGCTTTCATTATAGTTATAGATATGAAATAAATCTTATTATCTGGATAATGTACGCAGCTAATTCATCGATTCTGTACAGCAAAGAAAAAACTGTCTGGATACTGGGCACCTGACATCAATACTTAGTGAATCTTTCTGGCCTGCGTTATTCCAAACAAATCAAATTTCAAGAAGAATTAATAAACTTTCTGAGAACCTGACTTCTTTAAGTATCTTCACTTAAAATATAATTCACATATTACCTACCCTTTTCTGAGCAGCACTAATTTTACTGCGCAATAAACAGCGTAGATATTACCCATGAAATGTTTATTCACCTGAACAGAACGGCATCTTCTGCGACTGTTTAGCAAGCTTTCAACTCGCCAAAACCTTCATCTTAAAGCTGAAATGTCCAGCTTTCATTCAAAATACTTCGCTTACTGTTAACTGAAAAGTCGCCTCAAAAATTGAGTTTTTGTTTTTAGTGTCCAGATACTAGTACCGTCTGGATACTTTGCAACATACTGTAGTGTTTTACACCCATAAACGGTAAGCTATTTACAGTCACCTTTTCTTTCCACAAGATCGTCTGCGTAGATTGAGTTCTCGGTTTAACAGGTTGTAGCATGTTGCCTTTGGTGGCCATCATTGGTTCCTATGGTGGGCTAGGTGTCCTGACACAGGTGGTCAACAAACTGATGTTTTTATTAACTAGGTGATATCAAAAATTGATTAAAATCCATCAGTTTACTTCTTTTGATTATCGATCGTGGTTGATTTTTTGTAATTTTTTAGCAATCAATTTTATTGAGTTTGATTGCAAATAATTTTGAAAACATAAAAATGGTTGACCATTAGGCCGGTTCAGACGTCGATCTTTTCAATAATACTTTGAATTAAGAACATTAAAAGTTCAGCATCTGAATGAATTAGGAACGCCTCTTTCAATTTAGAATGGCTCAGCCATTCTTTTCGCTTAGCCCAGCTGGGAATTTCGCCTTTGGAGTGACTTTGGAACGGCTTTGATTCAGATGCTGAACTTTTCATGTACCGAACCTAATGCATAAATTATGATAACATATTTTGTAAGCTGTTTGACTGAAATGAGCATTTTTCGCCTTTCGAACTAAGTTAGATACTTAGATTCTGTTGTTGTGTTGTATCCATCCTTGTCTATAATATTATTTATCTGAATGAATCACAATTAGCTCAAACAGATAAACAACAGCTCATAATTAAATTAGTATTCATCTGTTACATGTATAACATCTACATAACACTTTACTGAGGTCAAAACAATTACAGAATTTTTGTTATTGCACTTTTCTAGGAACTGCTATTAATGACATCAGAAACAGCTAATGATAAATTCTTTGATTACAAGATTTTGCAATCTATTTCATAAAATAGTGAGAAGCTGCATGAGTCTGCCAATATAGTGTGCATAATTTAACTCACATGAAACATGTAGGAGAAAATAAAACAGTTTTACCATGCAAGAGGTTTATTCAGTGCAGCCAAATTTTACTAATCAGTTGAGAAAATTAATGTCAGGTTGTAACTTACAGGTAGGTTGCAGGTTACAAGTTTTAGGTTTCAGGTACATTTGTAAGCATTTGCTATGTCACACAAGGTCCTGCCAGCACTGCAAGTGGACCAAACTAGTACTTTTATATGCCTTCTCGACCCCTAGAATTTGTTCCCGCGCATTCTCTGAGGCCCTAAAAATTTCTAAAAATTTGGTGTGAACTATACATGCCATTGTTAGCTGATGTGTTAAACACCCTTCTCAAAAAGATTGGTTGCAAATTAATTGCCACTTCTCTTTACAGATGATGTCATCTCAAAATCGCTTTTAAGTGAAAAATAACAATTAAAGAGCGAGTTACAGTCAACTCTCTCATAGCGACCACTTCTCGTATGTGACAATCTACCATAAGGGACCACTTTATTTTTTGTTTATTTATTTTATTTGTTTCTCCAAACCTTAGTAGATGATAGTACAGAATTGGATATAAGATGAAAAAATAAAATAAAAAAGTAACTTAATAAAATTTACAAGGAAAGAAAACGTAAAATATAACACTACAGCACTTAAATTAAAATTAATCACATTGTATAAAGGAAAGAGAGGAGAGGGGCACGTGCGCCCCTTAAAGTTACGTATAACAAAAAACTTGTAGTTTTAAATAAAAAAGTAAAGGAAAAAATTATAAAATGGCTCAGTAAATTATTAAAGAGATGATGTTTCATTAGTATTGAGCAAGGTACCAGTGTAAAAGTGCTTTCCTAAACATTTTTTTAGATGGTTGGTCTCTGATTAATTGCGGAATACTATTCCAAAAGAAACGTCCAATAACACTGGGGCAGAATCTCCTGAGATTCCTGCTGGGATAAGTTCGAAATGAGGGTATGACTACTTGATTAGAGGATGCACTGCAAGTATTGTAATTATGTAACTTAGATTCTAGTGAAACAGGTATATTAGGAAACTTTTCATGGTGGAAATAATCATAAAAAAGCATACATGTGTTCAGTTTGACAATATCAGGAAATTTCAGTGTGGAGTTATTGATTCCATTAAAGGAACACCATTTTATAATACGAACCGCTTTGTTTTGTAATTTTACGATTTGAGACAGTGGAGCATTATTTATTATTTCCCCATAGTGTACAAGCATAAGTAAGGTAAGGATATATAAGAGAATAATACAAACTATTAAGTGTTGCTTTTGAGACATAATGTTTTAACTTAACCATTATATTTTTATTACTAGATATTTTGTTGATTTTTTCCCCATAGATGACCACCTCTCATAAGCAACCACTTCATGAGGCACCAAGTGTGGTCACTTACAAGACAGTTCACTTCACTGTACTCGTTGAAGCTTAACGCATGTTATATCATTCTTTCTTACCAATGTAGAGTCTGTGTAAGTTTTCAAGACATTTTCTGCATCGAGCATCCTAAATGGAAACTGCAGTACTATCACCTCTGGCTGCATCCTCAGAGAAGACAAACGGAAACAAGCTGAGCAGGTTCTCCATCGATGATGGAACAACAGCACTGAGGAAGGCTTCTGATGATTTTTACCCTCCCACCAACTTGGCTTCTGTTCTCAATGTCAATTACTCCATTCGTGACAACCTTTTGCGTAAAAGAATTCTGAACAAGGATCAGTGGGGCAAACTCTCCTGTCCTGAAGGAGTGGAATCAGATTTCCACGAGTTCAAAATCACACTTCTTTTTCTTCTACTACATGTAATTAACATTTGCAGTTCATCCAATCCTCTGTCAGGTTGGCATGCTAAGCCACCCCCTCATGACGTGTTTTTTGATGCTAATCAGAATGTGTTGTTTAGTGACATGACTTCCACCAGTGTTGATGGGCAAACTTTGTGGCAAAACGTTAGCAGCACTCTTCACGCTCTTGGTTTAGATCAAGCTGAAATTGACAGACTGACGACAGAGCATGGTGGAGAGCAATATTACATTGATGCCCTAATTGAGTGGGCTGACAGTAAAAAGAAAATAAAAACACAGCTGAAGGACATCCACCAGACGCAATTAGAACTCCGTAAGGTACTTCAAGATAGCAATTCAAAACTGGAAGTACTATTAAGTAACGCCCCAAGGAAAACTCAGGATGTTGCAGATGAAGCAGTGAAGATGGAACCCAAAGGTCATCAAGAAATGACGGTAGCACACCAGAAGAGTATGTCATGTTTAGAGGGACTAAGTCATCAAGAAATGACGGCAGCATACCAAAAGAGTACGTCATGCTTAGAGGGACTAAGTCATCAAGAAATGACGGTAGCACACCAGAAGAGTATGTCATGTTTAGAGGGACTAAGTGAACAAGAAATGACGGCAGCACACCAGAAGAGGATGTCATGTTTAGAGGGACTAAGTCACCAAGAAATGACGGTAGCACACCAGAAGAGTATGTCATGTTTAGAGGGACTAAGTCATCAAGAAATGACGGCAGCATACCAGAAGAGTATGTCATGTTTAGAGGAACTAAGTGAACAAGAAATGACGGCAGCACACCAGAAGAGGATGCTATGTTTAGAAGGAATAAGTCACAAAGAAATGACGGCAGCACGCGAGAAGAGTATGTCATGTTTAGTGGGACTAACTCACCAAGAAATGACGGTAGCACACCAGAAGAGTATGTCATGTTTAGAGGGACTAAGTCACCAAGAAATGACGGCAGCACACCAAAAGAGTATGTCACTTTTAGAGGGACTAGTAATCAAGTCGCAATCAAAAACTGAACAAGAAATCCATGAAATTCGTGAATCAGTTCAACAAGTAAAACATGAGGTAAAAACGTTAAAAAAGAGGACGAATAGGCAGACAGATGAGGTCAGTACTTAATTCTGGATATTTGTTGTATTAAAAATTTTCAGATGTAGAATTGATGACTGGATAGGCTACTCTAAGTGTGTAAACTGAGGGAAGAGGGAAGGTCACAAGATATTTTTGAAATAAGCAATGGCAGATTTTTCTGATTTTAAATTGCATGTGGCTGTATTTAAACTTTACCACTCATACCCCCCCGTCCCCCCGCGGCTATGCCAAACATAACTGACAGGATTATAACCTTGAAGTATTGGATTAAGAGAATGCTTCTTCATAAGGCTCAGTTTATTCGCAAAGTTCTTTTTAGGTCGTCATTAAAATGTGTTTGTCATTTGTTGACTATGTCAACGCCCAGCAGTCTGCTATGTTTGACCCAATTTAGACAGTACCCTGGTAGGAATATTGAGGGAAGGGGACCGGTGACCAGTGTTAGGGTTCTTAGGGTTATGCGAAAACTGGAAAAAACAATTTAAGGTATGAGGGATCATTGACAAAACAATTTGGGGGATAAAAAGAATAATCAAAATATTTTTAAGGGAGTATAATGGAATAAGTTCTGGTCCAAAATATATTATTAATTCGCCGTTTGCACATCTCCCATAATACACCTTGTTTGCCCCAAAAATTCGCGCAAGCATGGTCTTCAATTGCTCTTGGGACAACTGTAATACCCAGGAGAAATAAAAAAAGCAAATGTTAAGCATAGATCTGGGAGGAAAACAAGGTGTATTATTAGATGTGCAAATGGCAAATAGTAAAATATAATATTTTTTTCTTCACTCTTTTGATAGATTATTTTATACCTTTAACAACCCTTGTTCAGTTTAGTTTCAGGTTAGGTGAGTTCAAGCCTCTTGAGCACGGCTTTTGCCCCAGAGACCGGGGAAAGGGTGGGGCTTCGTGAGCTTTATCCCTCCACGTTTGGTACCAAGTCTGTAAAATGTCCTTATCTAAAAATGTCACTTACGCTGCTGTTAGATGCTTTTATAACTAAGCGTCTCTCTTCTGCTTTATTTATTTTACAGACAACTCCAGTAGAGTTCTTCGGTGTACCTTTGAACGACCAAGAGTTACTGGATGCCGATCCACGGTATGTGTTGGGAGCATGTAAACGATTCATATCTCCTGGTACATATGACGAACATTTCACGCACCTCACTAGTGGATATAGGACACCTAAACAAGTTCTAAGGAGTTTGCTGAAGGTTTTAGCAGGGTTGGACTCTAAAGACCAAGATGAATGTCTTGAGGCCATTTTACATGCACTGAGAGAGGCGAGCGAAGTAGGATTTTCGCACGTTATTGAACGTCTTCAGAAAGGTACAGTAGGAGAGAACCCTGGGAACGAGGTTGCTGTTCCCTCTTACGTCATAGATTTTGCAATGTTGCCCGCTCAGAAACGTTTGGCTGGAGACAGTCTTTTTTGTTAGGGGCTGCCGGTTTACATAGAGGGAGGAAGATCCTAGAAGGGGGCCATAAGTTTTCTGTATTCAGTGTACATGCAAAGGGTTGAACTTGTCCTTAGCACTTGGATCTTCCTACTATTAGGATCTTCCTAGCTGACAGGTAGGAAGATGCTTGTTCTCGGAAGATCCTAGCACCATGTAAAATGCCTTTGTTAGGAAGATCCCAGTACCAGGGATAAACCAGACAAGAATGGCGGCAGGTCATTCAGTGGCTAATAACGGCCATAAAGGCCGACCATTTCGTTTGGCGTTACTACGAGCTAGTTATTGTGATAATTCTGCTGAAAGTTAGTTATTAACGCCAGTAAAGAGAGCAGAAAAGCCCAATTGCATTTTTGTTTTTGTCACGCACTGTTTTTATTCCTTCCAGAACCTTCTTTACTTGGGCACCACACAGACCAAAATTTCTGCATGTTAACCCAACGAAAAGTTGTTCCACCTTCTAGGATCTTCCTTCATCGGTCCATGTAAACAGTCCCTTGAGAAACATTCGACCTCGAAAGTAGCCCGCCATGAGAGCTTGCGCTTTTGGGAAAAACTCCAGCCATGCAACAAGTAAGCTTAAATATATATTTTTTTCTTTTCTGGATAGGGCGTCAGATGGTTAGTCTGCCACTAACAGAAAAACGCGAAGTGATTCCCAAAGTTTCAGAAAGAGTGGGATCATCCTGGAAGAGTCTGGCAAGGGATTTCAAGTTTGAAGACGAAATTATTAATAGTTTAGCAGGGGAAGAACGAGGAGACATAGAACGCTGTTACATAGTTTTGCGAAGGTGGTGTAAACATAATGGAAGGAATGCCACCGTGAGAAAACTCATGATCGCACTGACGAAAATGGGAAAGGCAGAAGTGAACAATGACATCATGAGATGTTTGAATCTTGTCAAACCATATGTTGTGGACACATCAGTGACCAACGCGATCCAAACTAAAATGTTACGTTCCAAACTTTAAGATTCCACCCCAAACGCCTAATTTGATGCAGTATAAAACGCGATTTTCGTCAGAAACTGTAAATCTGTACTGCAGGTATAACAAGTGTAAAGCCATATTCTGAATACACAACAGAATCGGAGTTGACGTATCACGCTGACTGTGAAAACTGAAAACGAGATGGTGAAACAACGGTATTTTCTACTGAGCCGGTTTGGATATTGTTGGGAGTATAAGATTTACAATGGGCTATTGCATTTAATATCCGTATCAACCCCCCCTTCCCCGCCCCTCGTCTGAAGACTTAGCTTTTCTTCTTACCCCTAAAGATTTTAAAAATTAAATCGCATTCACCCCTGACGGACTTCAATAAAATAAGGGTCCTACCACTGAAGAGTATGGGTCTACCCCTGAAGATTTTCATGAAAGTTAAAGCTCCGACCCAAAGAATTTCATGTTTTTTGGGCTCTACCCCTAAAGGAATCCTCAATTTTTATAAGTTACCCCTGAAGAATTCCATGGTTCGTCAACCGGGGGATGCGTGTATTAAATGTTAAATGCAATAGCGTAATGAATCAACAGATCAGGTTCAAAGGGATATCCACGTGGTCGACGGAAATTACAAGTTTGGAAAAACACACTTTAGTTTGGAACACGTTGACCCTTGCACCCTTGATCAAGTCAATCATGATTACGATCACAAGTAACGAACCTTGAAACACAGAAAACCACTAAACGGTGAAAATCCACCAATCGCAAATCACAAACCATGACCTTTTGATCTCTTTGGAGTAAACGTTTGTTTCTTAAGTCAAAGGTGGCTCAAAGAGGTCCGCTAAGATGATTGACGGCAGCGAAAACCCTAAAAGTTAGTTTGCTTTTGAACTTCAGATTCGCGTGCTTCTATCTTTGAAAAGCGCAGTACGGAGGGTGTAATTTGCAGGTTGCAGGTTGCAGGTCAGAATTTGGAAAAAGAGCTAAATGTCCTGAATGGTTTACAGATCTTCCCGAGCTCCTAAAACAGAACACTACAATGATGTTTTAATCTTGGTGATATCATATTCTTGACAGGGTCACACAAAACCGGAAATATCAGATCTCAGTTCTATAAATCGATTCTTTAGTCCAAGGTTTTTCGAGGCAAGAAGGAAGGTTTTAAAATCGTGAGATCAGCTACTACTTCATCGCTGTTGTCCATCTCATCACTCCTGGCAAAGCTAGCATAGTTACAGAAAAGACCGGTTCCTCGCGGTTGCTATCGCCGTCTGCCGTACCTAGGATAGAAATGGAAATTACACAACCATGGTGACCCAATTTATATGTGCAACTCGACGAAACACAAAATAAAGTTTCATATCAGTTTAAAAGCAAAAAGAAATTTCGATGAAATCCATCTTGGATGCACGCCAGGCCTGGATAGATCATTAACCACCGGAAATTTCAATATCCGTTTTTTTTTTTTTTTCACCATTCGTTATTGTTTTCTTTTTTTTTAGGGTGTAAAGAGACAAGACAAAACAAAGATATATGATCTCGAATTCCAACTGCGCTTGAGAAATTCTGATTTATGGTGCAGTGTGATACTATGGCCAGTCATTGAATTCAAAACTTACCTCTTTGTATAAACAGGAATGAGAAATCTAACTCCCTCCCCCGGGGGGTGGGGTACTGCCATATATGGGCTATATGGGTATGTGCCGCTGTGAAGGGTATGGTTTTCAAGCAGTTTACTCCAGGATAGGGTATATAAATCAGAGCGCTTGGGTCTAGAATAGGGTATCATTTTTCAGGAAACTGATCAGTTGGTTGAAGATTTTATCTAGACTGGGGAAACAGCTATTCTAGGATAGGGGGATTTTGGGAGTTTACTCTAGTATAGGGTAGCAAAATTCAGCTGAACTAGCTCTGGTATAGGTCAAGGGTTCCAGGGTCCCAGCGGCACATCCCCACCCAGAAATTCCTAAAGTGCCCCCCCGGGCTCCCTTCGAACAATTATTTAAAACCTTCCTTCTTGCGTTAAAAGGTCTGGAACTAAAGGATCTTTTTACAGAACTGAGATTTGAAATTTTCAGTTTTGGGTGACCCTGTTAAGAATATGATATCACCAAAACATCATTGTAATGTCCTGATTTAGGGGCTCGGGAAGATCTGGAAACCATTTAGGACATTTGACTCTTTTTCAAATTCCAACCAGCAACCTGCAAATTACCCCATGACGCTATCGTCACTTGAAAATGACTACCAAAAAAAAATGACTACGGTATTTTAACATTACCTTGTAAATTAAACATGAATTGTTGTAAAGAGTGCTCATTGAATGTGATTTAAGAACTGGTGGCTTTTTTTATTCATAAATTATGCAGAAAATGCTATTGATGCGAACAACTATTCAACGAGTTTTCTAGCATTTTTTAATTTTTTATTTTTAATTGACTGTGAAAATCCCCGCACTTTAATTAAGTCTGTCTGTCTTAAATGTAATAAGCGTCGTAGTCTTACCCAGCCTGTCTCCTGTTGCTTTTAATCTTGTGATTATGTATATATTTTAACTATTCTTATATTATTTAATTTTCTAGGCCTCAGGTAATCTGGTGACTTGTTTGATTACCTGAATGTATTTATATTATGCTGGCGAAGCTAATAAAATAAAATAAAAAAATAACTTGTGTTTTATTTACCTTCACGTAGTAAAAACCAAAGCATATTTGATAAAGAAACAGCGTAACAACAAACGGAGATTGGTGACAAAAGCAAATCAAACTGACACTGTGAAACATTGCATGGTTTTCATCCCCTCCCCCACCCCCACCCCCCAAAAATAACAACAACAACAACAAGTTTTTTCAGTTTGCCATTTTATACATGGTGTTATCGATTAGAATACAATAAACAGCTATGAGAGTTAATATTAGTGAAAAAGGAAATGCAAATATAATTGAATGGTATGATTAAATATCTTTTTTTTCGCCTTGCTTTGAAATATGAAAGTATGTAGCAGTCAGTCTGCAGATATATGAATCAGTATTGTTAAAAAGAAAAACATATATACTCTACCATGGTTATTGTAGCCTGCGTGGTAGGCGTTAAAAGGGGAAGGGGAAGTGGGAATTTGGGCGCGAAAAGTAACATTGTGATTTCAACCCGGAGTAGTCAATCGGTGGCAATCAAGTGATTTTTATCGATTGATAACGGAAATCGGTGAAAATCGATTATCTAAATTGCTGTGTCAAATCGATATTATCGATATTTCATGATTTTAACGATTTATAACGGAAGTCCGCCATTGTTGTTTTTTGGCACGAGTTAGATAATACAGCTGGGAAGACACAGCCACGAGTAACAACTGATCAAAAAACATGAAAATGAGAAATGTGGAACCTATTACACACATAAGCTTCTCTCTAAAACTCTTCGTTTTGTACATAACACCAAAAACGATTCGGTTTTATTTATAATTACATTCAGTTCTCGCAGGCAAGTATCACAAGACTCCCCCGAGTCGAAGGGATGTCTGAAATTCATTCATAGATTTCCCTCTATAGATTTTCACCGTTTCTGTTATCAATCAATAAAAATCACTTGATTGCTAACGATTTTTATTGATTTCGATTTTTGTCTATGGGCTACTCCAGGATGTAACTACACCCGGAAGTGCTACACCGACGTTATTTTGAAAGGGCGGCAGGTCTAAATGGTGAAAAACTGGGCGCCTATAAACCAGAAGAATATTTTAAAACCTGGTTTTGAAGAAAAGATAAGATTATTCAGAATTTTTAAAAAGATTTTTTTAAGAAGTGATAATTGTTTGATCCTTCGACTATCAATTGCAACTCAATTGTCAACAAATTTACTGCTTTATCGGTTGATAAATCGATACCAATTTTTATCGATTGAACAAATTAAGAAATAGGGACCTTCAGCAAGGACGACGATGACGTCAGTGAAATCGTCGGTGGAAAAATGAATTTCCGTTCTTTCAAACTTAATGGCGTCTATTTGGACCTGCTCAATATGGCCATTTATACGAGGAAAAATAAGACGCGTCTTAACCCTATTCAGACTGGGCTTTTTTGGTCAATCTGTGACTGGGGGGGGGGGGCTCCTCGGACCCCCCCTCTGTATCTCTGGAACCAACAATGCTAGGGTCATGAAATTTACACACAATGATCATCTCCGTACAAAGAAGCCCCACACCCAGTTTTGACTTGCCACGCCCAATGATGACGTCACAGTAACGTTATATTCCGATTTTTCAATGTTTCTTATTATTTTCCACTTATATACGTAAAATATCAATAATATTGGTAAAGTCATCTCTTTAATATAATATACAACATATATGCATATAAAATACACACTTTGACATGTGTTTTGATACTTTAAAGGTAATAATGACGTCATAATTGCCAAAATTTGAAATGGTTGTCCACCATCTTGGATCCGCCATCTTGGATCCGCCATCTTGGATTTCCGTTTTTTTGTTAAAATTATAATTTAAAGCAACTTTCAAAGGGAAAAAAGCTTAGAATGTATAAAAGAAGTATCAAACTAATGTTTATTACCCAAACAAATGACTTTGGAAGTGTTATTTGGAAAATAGAGCAGCATATTTGTCAAAGCAAAAAAGTGACAAATTTTAGCTCACCCCTCCCCTCCAAATATTCGATGTTGAAACATTTTGATGTAATTCAAAAACTAGTCCCAAGCAAAGACCATTTTAACAACAAAAAGCACTATAAGTGTAAAAACGCGATCTTAAAACAAAAAAATCACCATTTTTTAAATTTTCCAAAACCTATGTGTCAAAAACTGGTTGCCATGGCAACATGATTAATCACATGGACATGATAATTATACCAAAATGTTCCTAGATAAATTTTAGGAAAAGTCAGAAAATTTGAACGTCATAGCTCTTTCGGTGTAGGAGTTATTACGATTTTGCCGGAGGGGGGGTTCGAAAAGCCCCCAGTCTGAATAGGGTTAAATAAGACGCGAACTTTCCGTATAAACGGCACATTTCGTCTAAAATAAGACGCGGCTTAGCTAAGACGCGTCTTATTAGATAAGACATGCTCGTATAAATGGTACAGTTCGCGTCTTATTTAAGACGCGTCTTACATAAGACGCGTCTTATTTTTCCTCGTATAAATGGCCCTAATATGTCAAATGCAGGCGACTTCTCATAAAGTTGAATTCTTAAGGATTTTATTCAGGTTCAAAAAGAGGAAGGAAAATTCGTCGTCGTATGTTCACGTTCTCCATAAAACGTCAAAT